GGATAACCTTTTCCAGACCTCTTGGAGCTGTAACCACCTCACAGGAGCAGCACTTTTTAAAAAAAAATTAATTTAATTTTTTATCTTTATTGTTGAATGTATTACATATGTTCCTCATTTTCCCCCCATTGACCCCATCCTCCCCACTCCTACTCCCCCTCCCGCCTTTTCCCACACTGTTGTCCGTGTCCATTGGTTATGCATATAAGTTCTTTGGTTTTATTTCTTCCGACCCCCCGACTCCCTTCTCTTTGAGGTTTGTCAGTCTAGCAACCATTTGTTCTTCTTAATCCCTTCACCTTTTTCACCCATTCCCCCAACCCCCCTCCCATATGGCAACCAACAAAATGTTCTCTGTATATCTACGAGAATGTTTTTGTTCTGCCTGTTCATTTTGTTTGTAGATTCCATTGTCGATAGATATGTATTCATTGCCATTTTGTTGGTTCATATATTTTATCTTTTTCTTCAAAAAGACCCTTCAACATTTCATATAGTAACGGTTTGGTGGTGATGAACTCCTTTAACTTTTTCTTGTCTGGGAAAGTCTTTATATGACCATCGATTCTAAATGACAGCTTTGCAGGATAGAGTAATCTTGGTTGTAGGTTCTTGCTTTCCATCACTCTGAATATTTCTTGCCACTCCCTTCTGGCCTGCAAAGTTTCTTTTGAGAAATCAGCTGACAGACTAATGGAAACTCCCTTGTAGGTAACTAGCTGCCTTTCTCTTGCTGCTTTTAAGATTCTCTCTTTGTCTTGAACCTTTTGCATTTTGATGATGATGTGTCTTGGTGTGGGCCTCTTGGGGTTCATCTTGTTTGGGACTCTGTGCTTCCTGGACTTGTTTGTCTGTTTCCTTCACCAAGTTAGGGAAGTTTTCTGTCATTATTGTTTCAAATAGGTTTTCGACTTCTTGTTCTCTCTCTTCTTCTGGCACCCCCAAGATGCAAATGTTGGCATGCTTAAAGTTGTCCCAGAGGCTCCTTACACTATTCTCATTTTTTAAATTATTTTTTCTGTTCTAATTGGGTGTTTTTTGCTTCCTTGGTTCCAAATCGATATTTTTCTTGGCGTTACCTACTCTACTATTGGATCTGTGTAAATTATTTTTTATTTCTGTTAGTGCCTCCTTCATTTCTGACTGTGCATCCTTCATTTCTGACTGGTTCTTTTTAATGCTCTTGAGGCCCTCACTAAGTTCATCGAGCATCCTCATAACCAGTATTTTGAACTCAGCATCTGGTAGGTTGCTTATCTCCATTTCGCTTAGTTCTTTTCCTGGAGTTTTGTTCTGTTCTTTAATTTGGGACCTGTTTCTTTGTCTCCTCATTTTGGCTGCCTCCCTGTGTTTGTTTCTGTGTATTACTTAACGAGAGGTATGGGGCTGTCTGAGACCAGATGCTGCTTGTTTGAAGGAATTTAGGAGAACCCGAAGCAGGATCCAAGACAGGCCAATCCTATGGTTAAGCAACTGGCAACAGCTTGGGTGGGCCTGAAAGTTGGGTGGGGCGGGGCCTCAGGGAATCACCAGGGCGGGGTTACCAGTGTGAGCCAGGTTGCTGGAGTCCCAGATATGGTGATGGTCTGCCACCCCAGGGACGGGCTCACCAAAGGAACAAAGGCCTCTGACAGCACGTTTGTCCTGGAGAAAGCCCCCTCTCCAGCCCTTGCTCCAGTGCCAAACAGCTCAGTTCTTCCCTGTATGACTCTGGTGCCCCTTGAGCTGCCTCCCCTCCGAGCTTAGAGGGAGAGAGTCTGATAAGTCCGTGCGCGGGCCCTTTAAGGAGCTGCCTGGGGCTCCAGCCGCCTCAGCCTCCCTGAGCCTCAGTTCCCGCTGGTTTTTCCAGCCAGAAGTGATGGGGATTCTCTTCCTGGCACTGGAACCCTGAGCGGGGCACCTGGTGTGGGACGGGGACCCCTCAGTCCTCAGGAAGGATCTTCCCAGCCGAGGTAGCCTCCTGATTTTTATCCGCCACACGTGGGTGTGGGACCAGCCCCTCCTCCCAGTCTGGATGTGGCCGCTTCTTTAATTCCGCAGTTGTAGGACTTCCATTCAGCTTGATTTCAGGTCGTTTTGAATGATGATTGTTCTGTAGTTTAGTTGCAATTTTGATGTGGTTGTGGGAGGACGCAATACCGCATTTACCTACCCGCCATCCTGACCGGAAGTCCACAGGAGCAGCACTTAAAGCCCTCAGTGTTCTGAACACTAGGAAACTGAAAACTAATTGTTTAAGTTAGCTATCCAAGCTGCTTTGGAGGGAAAGCCTCACCTGCACTGAGTAGGGTTATTTATAGGCTTTATCTCGGTGTGAGTACTTATCCATTTTGCTGCAGAAACAGAGTGTGAGGTTGTGGAGTGCTGACCCAGGGCGCATCGATGGTGTTAGGCAGTAAATGGTATGCATACCCTACTCTATAAAAAATTTCAGGAACACATGATCCCAAGGAGTTTGAAAAGGGATTGTATGCCTGCAATTAATCTTTAAATCAACCTTTTGAAGTTTATGGCATTATCTCTATTTTTAAAATGAAGAAAGGTTAACTTGGCAAATAAATGGCAAAGCTGGTATTTTGATGTGTGCAGAGGCCGTTAATCTTCGATGAGAAACGTCCGTGTGAGGGAGACACATCTAACCACTGAGCCAAACTGGCCAGGGCCAATTTCATATGCTTAAAGCCCCATCATGTTTCCTCAGAGTCTGAATGACCCCAACTTAATATGTAACTTTTAAAACACTGCCATATGCATGTCAGATCATTTTAATTGACTTGTATATCCTTACAAGGAGAGCAACCTAATTTTATAAGCCTTTCTCATGTATTTTTAAAACTATATATTACAAATCTCTCTCCTTCCCCTCTCTCTCCATATATATATATGTATATATATATATATGCACATACACACACATACATATCTTTATTGAACATCACTCAGTTGCAAACCAGCCTGTTATGACTTTAGTTTAAATGGCTACAATTCATTTTGAGCCATCCAACAGGAAAGTTATATTTCCTGCACCTGACAAAATAGGATGGTGGCAAGTAGGCCCGGAAAAGCATTTTTAAACATTACTGTCCTTATTGGTATTGAAATGGGTGGGAAAGAATAATAGAAAAATGGAGAAGTGATCATAGTGGGGTGCTAGCCATAGTTATAAGAAATGCTGAACATCCTTGCTCTTTTAGTTGTGATTGTTTGTTCTGATTAAAGAAAGCCCATCCTGTCCTGGCTGGGAGCTGTACACCCTGGGAGTTTACCCTGGGAATGCTGTCAGTTCTCTTTACCTGAGAGCTCCCCTCGCACCCCGCATCATGGAAAGACTAACAACCTTGGAGTTTGGAGGTGGTGCACTAGAGACAGCCCCCATTACTTCCCCATGATTGTAATCTGTAACTGTTTTACCCATTGTCATTCCTTTTGCCTACTCCCCCAACCATTTTACTCACTGATATTCCCTTTGTCCGCTTACCCATGTAATACTCACTATAAACAACCGAGGGAGTGGAGAGCAGATTTTTGCAGGATGACCTGGCTGCTCTCCTACACTGCCTGAAATACTGGAATACTCTCTCATATATGATTCAACCCTGTCTCTGCTTAATTGGCTCAAGGAGTGACAGGCAGCCAGGGACCATTTGTAGTCCAGTTTTAGTATGGGGTGGACAAAGTATGAAATAAGCCAAGTTTTTTACATAAAGGGTAAATGAGTTAATACCATAAAGTGATTCAGAACAATGACTAGAACATGTCAAATACATGTTTTTGCGTATTTGAAAAAAATTTCAGATAACATTCCTAATTTACCAGGTTACTAGTGGAACTTGTAGCAATTCTCATAATGGTATCTAAAAACTTATTTTAAAAGTGTGTAAGCCTTTGGAAATAAACTGCTGTGCTTCTCTATGAACATATTCATTAGTTAACACTGGTGACTTTATGTGTCTGAGTGTAAGTTTATTTTGACTGCGTAAACTTTCATGTAATCTGGTCAGGATGAGTGAGTAATGATCAAGCCTGCTATGCTCTATCCAGACAGCGTGGAAGATGGGGGTTCAAATAATGATAAAAGTAAACAATTAGAATTAAAATAATTATAAAATAACAAAATGATGAACATAAAACACAGAGTCGCGTTTGAACTTGGTGATTGTTGGATAGTACAGAGAGGCAAGCACACTACTATATAATGTGCGTGGATCCCAGAGAGATCTCACCGCGAGCTAGCTCCCGGTATAGGAAAGCTGGGGCAGCTTCAGCCCCAATTAAGAAAACTGAAAATCCTCCTCCCTGCAACGCAATCAGAATGAAGGACAGCAGGGTTTCCCACCACCCTCTCCTAGTGACCTGTACCAGCGCCCGAGAGGACAGTCCCGCTGCTCTTCCCAGCTCTGCGGAGGCTCGCACCCAGACCGGGCCCAGAGCACGGGGAGCGACGGCGGGACCAGCCCTCCCGCAGGCCCGGCCCGCCCCCTCCGACAGGCCCGCCCCCCCACGCAGGCCCGCCCCTCCCGCAGGCCCGCGCCCTCCGACAGGCCCGCCCCTCCCGCAGGCCCGCCCCTCCCGCAGGCCCGGCCCGCCCCCTCCGACAGGCCCGCTCCCCCACGCAGGCCCGGCCCTCCCGCAGGCCCGCGCCCTCCGACAGGCCCGCCCCTCCCGCAGGCCCGGCCCGCCCCCTCCGACAGGCCCGCTCCCCCACGCAGGCCCGGCCCTCCCGCAGGCCCGCCCCCTCCGACAGGCCCGCCCCCTCCGACAGGCCCGCCCCTCCCGCAGGCCCGCCCCCTCCGATAGGCCCGCCCCCCCACGCAGGCCCGCCCCTCCCGCAGGCCCGGCCCCTCCGACAGGCCCGCCCCTCCCGCAGGCCCGCCCCTCCCGCAGGCCCGGCGCCTCCCGCATACCCGGCGGCTCCGCGCGCTGGCTCCCGCCTTCCGCGACGGCTGGCGGAGGGCCCGCGGCTCCCTGGCGCCCCCTGGCGCCCCCTGGTCGGGCTCGGGCGCAGGTTTCCGGTGAGCCGCAGGACCGGTTGTGACGACTCCCTCCTCCCGAGAAGCCGCCGTCTGCTCCCGCTCCCCCCGACTCCCCGGCTCCAGGTGGGACTCCCCGGTCCGCGGCGCCATCCCCTTCCGCGGCGTCCAGACCGCGCCGCTCGTCCTCTGGGTGGGCGGAGGGCGCCCCTGCCCGCTCCCGGCGCGGCTCCCGGCGGCTGCAGCCTCCCGACGGGTGCTCTCCGCTCACGCCGCCCCGCAGGTTCCCGACCGACGTGCTGGCCCCCCGGGGGACCTGCCCCTGGGCAGCTCGGGCAGCCAGGCCCTCGCCTCTGGCCCTGCCCCTCCTCTGAGGCTTCTGGCACCGCGGGGCGAGCCCTTTGGGGTCGTTGTTTCAGATTCGTTTAGCTTTTCTTCTGTCCACCGCCTTCCTTAAGCTTACTTTACCCACGTCCGTCACGGAGCCTTGCCCCAGCTCTCACCGTGGTCCCCTCTGCCGCGGCGTTTCACATCTTTCAGGCTTTCCCCCTTTGTCTCCCCCTTCCAGGCCTTGGAAATCCAGTCAGGGGATGCAGGAGTGGAGGGAGCCGGCTGCTTTCTGCTGCAGGAAAAAGCAGCTGAGTTGCTAAAGCTTCCATCTGCTAAAGAAGGGCCTCTGTCCCTCCCGGGGGCACTGCAGGAGGACCGGACACCAGCACGGCCTCGTCAGGCCCCAGGGCTTGCTGCCACCAGCGGCCACCTCTTTCTAGCCTATGCCAGTGGGTACATGCCCTCTGCAAAACCAGGTTTCTGATCTGTCTTTCCATTTTCCCGTGACTTCAGCGCTATTCCTCCGTGGATCCGTGGGTTTACTTATAGCTGGAGTGCAGTCCAGGACAAGATACTTGGATAACCAAAGGGCAGGAGGACTTGGTCACCACAGTGACTTTATTACTGGGGAGAATGATCTAAGGTGTAATACAGCTCTGTCATCTGTGGAAAGAAAGATCACTTTTTAAAAAAATAAAGGGAACCAAGAATGAGAATTATCTATGACATATTGCCTACGATATGGGGGAAATCTGGTCCAAGAGATTTAATCCTTATGGGGTGTTAGAAGTGCACTGAGGTCTGTAACCGTTATCTCTTTTCACAATTCTGCAGCAGGACAGGGAGAGTGTAAGGGTCGTGTGTGAGGCAGACTGCCTGGATTTCACTCCTGGAGTTTTCCGAGTCAGCTGTCACTACTGTCATAGACTGTTATTGTGCCCACCAGAATGCAGGCTTCACAAGGGCAAGGAGCTCCCTTCCTGACGGCATGTTCACTGCCGCATCCTTGGTGATTAGGGAACTGGCACATGGTATGTCCTCACAGGCTGGTGGTGATGAGTAGTGTTTATCAGCAGATACCCACTTGCTCAGAGCCAGAGCACTTCCTTTTCTTCTGTCTCGCTGGCATGTTTTCTCTGCTCTTGTCATTCAGGTCTCAGCTCAGATGTTACTGAGCACCCTGCACCCCACCCAGCATGGCTTTGACCTGTATTTAATCAACACGTACATTAATTCAGCACTACAGGTGCATCTCAACACTTCTCCAATATTTAACTTAGAACAGCCCCATGAGGAAGGCTTATTGTAATTTCTATTTTACAGATGGAAAAGCTGAGGCACCTGCCCAAGGTCTTACAGCTGAGGAAGCTGCAGCTGGATTCAAACCTAGTTGGTCCAGTTTTAAAGTCCACGTTCTTCAGCATCATGCTATGTTGTCTTATCATATTACTTTTATTTCAGGCATCAGCATACTGGGTCCTATCAAGCCCTTCCTCCTAGTTTTGTAAATAAAGTTTTATTAGAACACAACCATACCCCCTCCTTTAGCAGAGGGCTTGGCTGCTTTCCTGACAACGATCCTGTGGAGTAGTTGTTACAGAGACTGTACAGCCTGCAAAGTGAAAAGTATTTTCTCCTTGGCCCTTTCCAGAAGAAGGTCACCAGCCTCTCAATTAATTGATTCACGGCATCTTATCATCTGAAGCTGTGTGTTTGATTGTTTACTTTATGTCTCTTGTACTAGGTTACAAGCTGCATGAGAGCAGGGAAAAAATTTCTGAGATGTTCTCAATTAAATTACAGTGGCCCGAGAATGAGAGGAAGAGACGGAGCTGTTAGTGTGTGAATGGCTGGGGGACAGCTAACAAAAAACTGTTCACGTTTCTGTTTTGCTTGTTGGGATTTCTGATTAACTTCAGGTGGTTATTCTGCAGATTATTTTAGCCAGACAGCATCTAACCCCAGGAGCCCCCTCTTGTTTACAGGTGGGCTTTCCAGACCTATCCCAGTCAGGCCCCAGGAGCAGAGGATTCTTCCTGTGGACTCTGCTGTCCCAGAGCTGGGGGCCTCGCCTCCCCCACCCCTTTGCCTGTAGCTCATGTAAGTTTTCCAGACCACCTCCTCCTCCCCTGCCCCTACCGATGTATTTAAACAAAAAATGCTTGCAGAGGTCTGGGATGACAGACATGCTCTTTTCTACCTAGCCCAGCTGCTGGGGTCTGGACTCCATGCTGCAGGACCCGACTTCACCTTGCCTGCCGTCCTTGGCTCAGTACCTTACCTATTAAAAGACTTGCAGCCATGGAAGTTAAAACGTTTTAGTATAATAGCTCCTAACACAGTGCCTGGCATGTAACAGGCGCACAATGAACATTTATTGAATAAAGAAACATTAATAAGTGATATAGGAAAGTTTGTTGTAGTCACGCTTGACCCCTTTGATTTTTGAAGGATATATTTTAACGAACATGTTTGCAATTTGATCTCTAGGTTTGGAGGTTGCAATGTTAATGCTGCTTGTCTTTGGGATATTGCTTCACGACATCTCACTGAGTAGCCACGAGGAGGCTCCCCCAGAGGCCCATGGCATTCCAGGTGAACCTCTGTTTAACTACACCAGCATCCGCTTGCCAGAGGAGCATATTCCCTTCTTTCTGCACAATAATGGGCATATCGCCACGGCCTGTAAGAAAGACTCACACTGTCCTTATAAGGTAAGTATTATTTCTTCTCCTCTCATTTATTAAAAGTATGCAGTTTAGACTAGCTTATGAGATCTGTTTTATAACTTGAACTTGAAGGTAGAATTTTATCCTTTGGTTGTCACTGAGTTGATCATTGTATTTCATATAATGCTTCCAAGTGACCAAAATTTGTTTAAAATTATGTCCCATTCACAGAGGCGAGATTTAAATCAAAATCACTAACTAGCAAATAGGCAACCCATACTATTTATATACTCTATAAATGAGTTAAATTAGATTTTATATACAATAAAATATCTAGTTAAAAGTAATTAAAGAATTTCACACCTCTTCTTTCTTCAGCTGCACTTAAAGAAGGTCTCTTCGAGCTTAATTTTGTTAACATTTCTACCCCTGTTTCCACACCATTAAGATTGCTACTTTGGCCCTGGCCAGTTTGGCTCAGTGGTTAGAGTGTCGGCCTGCGGTCCGGAGAGACCCGGGTTCGGTTCCCGCTAAGGGCACGTACTTCGGTTGCAGTTTGTCCCCGGCCCTGGTTGGTCGTGCGGGTGGCAGCCACTCGATGTGTCCCTTCACGTCGATGTTTCTCACTCTCTCTCCCTTCCTCTCTCTCCCTCCCACTCTATCTGTACAAAAAATGGAAAAATATCCTCGGGTGAGGATAAAAAAAAAAAAAAAAAGATTGCTACTTTGGCTTTCCTTCTGTTGGAAAGGCCTCCAGTTGGAGCCCATTAGGACAGCGCATGAGGCCCTAGAGATAATGTGAAACACATCCTTCCCACCGTGCTGGCCCTGGAAGTCTGCTGAGAAGCAGGCCTGGGAGTTGGACCACTGTGCTCCTGGGCCCCATGCAACAGCCTGCTAGGCTGTCTGGCCAATAGCAGCTGCTGGGTCCCCCATGAGCTGCAGAGCTCTCCATGCCTTGGGTTCTCTGTTGATCTTGATGGATGAATAAAGTTGCTGATCCATTTAATTTAGCTCTGATTCTTTTGGTGACAGAAATTTCATTTTGGATGACTCCTTAAGGACTGATTTTAGCCCTGGTCGGTTTTGCTCAGTGGTTAGAGCATCGGCCGGTGGACCAGACAGTCCTGGGTTTGATTCCCGCTAAGGGCATGTACCAAGGTTGCAGTTTGTCCGCGGCCCCAGTTGGGGTTGTGTGGGTGGCATCCAGTCGTTGTGTCTCTCTCACATCGATATTTCTCTCTCTCTCTTCTCCCCTCTCTCCCTCCCGCTCTATTTGATGATAAATGCAAAAATGTCCTTGGGGTGAGGATTAAAAAAATAATAATAATAAAATAAAATATCATTAAAAAAAAGGACTGATTTTAGAATTACTTTGTTCACTGAGAAGGCCATTTCATGAAGCTGCTTCCAGAAATTTCAATTGAGGTGATCTTTTGTAGTCTAGTTAAAGCCTGAACTTTTGTTTAGGGGACTGACATGGGGAGGGGTTGGTGTTTAAAGATAATTGTTGTTAAGAACCTTAAGACTACTATTCTTAGAATTTACTTGTTAGTTTTATTGCATGAGTATGTATCATAAAATATAAAAGTGAAAGTTCTCTAAAGCTTTGTTTCTTCATGGAGAAATCTAAGTCCTCTCTAAAAGGGAGCCCAGTCAAAACACGCATGTTTTCTGTTCTAGAAACACTTAGAGAACCTGAAGTCCTGCTGGGGCTATGAGGACTCCTGCAGACCTGAGTTCAGGTTCAGTTACCCTGTTTGCACCTCCGTGGACATGCGATGGTAAGTTTCCAGATGCGGTGACTCCTCCCACGCAGCCATCTCTTACTGCAGGGCCCGCGACGCCCCGGTTCCCTGCGAGGCTCTTTGGTTTTAGAGAGTAATTCCTTTAGATATCAGTTTCTTTTTTAAATTTACTTTTTTGTTAATCCTCACCCGAGGATATTTTTCCATTGATTATTTTAGAGAGAGTGGAAGGGAGGGAAGGAGACAGAGAGAGAAGAAACATCCATGTGAGAGAGAGACATTGATTGGTTGTCTCACCCACAACCCTGACTGGGGCAGGGAGCTAACCTGCAACCCAGATGCATGCCCTCGACAGGGAGTTGCACCCTTGATCTTTTGTTCTAACAGCTGAGCCCAACTGGCCAGGGCTAGAGATCAATTTCTTTACACCGTCATGGATTCAATGTGACTATCCCACCTCCCCACCACAGAATATCTGCCATTTCCTCTGTCAGAGGGAGAATAGTATAGATCCTAGAAAATATTTTCCCCAGCAAACAGAAAGAAGATAAATGGATGTTTCCCTCCTGGCTCTGGAGGGGAGGGTTAAGAGAAATGGAAACGGGAAAAGTCGGTGTTCATGCTGCCTGTCACTTCCAGAACCAATAAGCAGAGAAGAGACAGGGTTGCATCTTTATGGGCACTTTATTCAGATGGCCAGCTATCTGAGAAGACAGCGGGTTGTGTACCCTAAAGACTGTCTTACATCACATCTCAAGCCGACCCTTTTTATAAGGAGAAGGAAAGTGTAGGTGGAGGGTTTGGAATTCAGGAGAAAGTAGCTAATCGGATAGAAGCTGCAGTGCGCTGGTGTTCTGAGCGTCCCTTCACCTGCTGACCGGTGACACTTTGTCTGCGTCCTGGGCAGACGTTCTCTCCCTGGTCTCAGATGCCATCTTGGTCCCTTGCAGTCCTCCTGGGGCACAAGGTTGAATTGCTTGTGGGTCCCCTGAATCAGGGCAGGTCCACTCATACATTCCAGTCCCTGAAACAGTAGCTTTCTACATGCATTAATTACCAAGCCTCTTAACTCTATAGTTAAAGCTAAAAATTTTTAACTTGACTTCTCCCTCATAATTACCATTTTTAAAACATGCAAGGTTACAGTTAGTCTTGGGGTGGGTGGAGGGGAATAGGGCATAGAGGGGATAAATGGTGATGAAAAAAAAAATATATATATACATGCATGGTTCATGGAGTAAGGAAAATACATTAGTGAATAATCCATTCTCTTTAGTTCCAGATGACCCTGACTTTATGCATTTATGTGTGTATTTGTATTATAAGGGAGTGTGTCTGTAAATAATTTCTTTGGTAACTGCATGTAGCAAGGGATTGTTTTAGAAAAATTATGGTACGTTACTTAAAAAAAAAATTAATGAAAAACTTCTAGCAATTTAACCTTTAGAAAGAAGATCCAAGTTTCAGGAAAAGTAAAACGAAGAAAAAGTGACACAATGTCTTTGTTTGCAAATAGGACGGATACCTTGGAGTCAGCCCAGGACATCTTTTGGAATCAAGCTGACTTTGGCTACGCTGGAGCTCGGCTGCGGGAGCTGCGAGTCCTCTGCCAGCCCGAGCGAACGGTGGGCAGCCGCGGCGGCAGCGTGTCTGTTTCATTTATCTTCTCTGTGCTTTGGGAAGCTTGCCTCATCACACTGCGTGGTTTGAACCTCAAAGTGTCCACATTGTCAGCAAGTCTAGCAAGTTCAGGGGTGTCCTGGAAATGTTAACACTCAGGGTTTTTTTTTTTTTTTTCTCTTTTCTCAATCTTATTTTAGAGCGACTCGAGTCTGGTATGTTCCCGCTACCTTCAACATTGCAGGGCAACCAATCTCTACCTTGACTTAAGAAACATCAGGAGAAACCATGACAGGTACTGAAGTGGTGGATGTTGAAATCTAATGGAAATTCTGAGATGTTTTCAAGCCCAGAGATATGCCTTGGGGTTGCTTCCTGAGTTCATGGCAGCCAGGCTGGGGACAGGAGGAGGGTGGAGGACCATTGTGAAGCAGGGTTATGGGGGCATCAGCTCCCAATACCATTCTGCCACTGCTGTATACGTTAGAGATATCCCATTATAAAGAGTAAAATTCTGATGGAAAACTGAGTTTGGAAATTGGTAGTCCATTTTGGTTACAACCCAAGTACTTAAGTCTTGAAAAGACTTTCCCACTCAATTTAATGCTTTGTTGTTCACCAGATTTAAGGAAGATTTTGTCCAGACTGGTCAAATCGGAGGGCACTGTAAACTGGACAGCCGTGCATTGATGTCTGAAGGTCAGCGCAAAAGCCCTCTGCAGTCTTGGTGAGATTTTTTTTACTGTGTTTGTGAAGTATTTGCCTTTATTTCTGGCCCTTGCATATTTTTAGGGACTTTTAAGTGGAAAATTTCACTGCATTTGTGAATAACTTGGTGTGAGCTTCCAGGGAGTGACGGCTACAGAGCACAGCCACCAGCTATGCCTGAGTCAGACACATGTTCATAGAGATAGGACGCCCGGTACAGTGCTTACTGTTTGCTAACGAAAGGAAAAGTTAGTCCAAGATAGTGAATCTTTTTTTTAATCCTCACCCCAGGATATTTTTTCATTTATCTTCAGATAGAGTGGGAAGGAGGGAGAGAGAAGGAAAGAGAGGGAGAGAGAAACATCAGTATGAGAGAGACACATAGACTGGTTGCCTCCTGCATGACCCGACCAGGGCCGGGGACAGACCGCAATCGAGATATGTGCCCTTGAACCCGCACCTCTTTGTTCTACAGGCTGATGCTCTAACTGCTAAGCAAAACCAGCCAGGGCTGGGCAATACATTTTTAAAGAACTACACACTTATTGAAGTATGTACCAAGCATACAGAGAGGTGTCCAGTTTGGATTATGACCGAGTGAAGCTCCCTGTGTAATTCTGACCCAGGTCCAGTGTAGACCATCAGCAGCACCCAGGCTGTCTCCCAAGCACACCCTGTCCTCCTCTCCGAAGGGAAACACTGCCCTGACTTTCTACACCATTGGTCAGCTTTTTGAACTTTATGTAAATTGGGGGATACATGTCCATTTAAAACATTTTCTAAATTAAACTAGTTCTGTATTTATCAAGAAATTTACTGCCTCTAGAAATTAAGGAATTGGGGTAATTTAAAAAATTTTTTATTTTGAAATACTTTTAGACTCATAGAAGTTTAAAAACAGCACAAGGAGTTCCCACAAGGCTTTCCCGGTTCCTCTGTTCATGACCTCTTCCATAGCCTAGCACAGTGATCAAAACCAGGAAATTGGCCCTGGCCAGTTTGGCTCAGCGGTTAGAGCGTCGGCCTGCGGTCCGGAGAGACCCGGGTTCGGTTTCCGCTAAGGGCACGTACCTCGGTTGTAGTTTGTCCCCGGCCCTGGCTGGTTGTGCGGGTGGCAGCCACTCGATGTGTCCCTTCACATCGATGTTTCTCTCTCTCTCTCTCTCTTCCTCTCTCTTCCTCCCACTCTATCTGAACAAAAAATGGAAAAATGTCCTCGGGTGAGGATAAAACAAACAAAAAAACAAACAAACAAACAAAAAAACCCAGGAAATTGACATGGGTGCAGTATTAGTAATGAAAACATTTGGATTTGACATACTTTCATTGTTTTTGGAGGTATAGGTCTATGACATTTATATCACACCTACAACAGTCAAGACACAGAACTGTCCAGCATCCCAGAGAAACTCTAACGCCCTCCTTATAGTCAGTGGTTGTGGGAACACAATTCTGATGTGTGTGGGGTTGCCACACACCACCAAGCAACTCACTGAAAACACCTGTATGTCCTTCAGTACAGCTCAGTTCTGATACTGTTTCCCACAGGTGAAGGGCTCAGTCCCAAAAGGCTGCCTCCTCTTTAGGCCCAAACCCAAGGCCCCGTTGTGACATGAGCTGCTGACCAACCACCTATAGATTGGAGGTTCTAAAGGTCCCCTTCTTGGGTTCAGTTTGCTAGAGCAGCACAGAACTTCGAGGAACGTTTACTTGTGACGTTGTTCCGTGTAAAAGCATGTAGCTGGGGAACAGCAGGTGTTAGCACAGGCCAAGGTGCGGGGAAGGAGTGCAGAGTTCCCGTGTCCTCCAGGCACCCCAGTCTCCCCAAGTTTCTAAGTGCTCCCAACCCAGCAACTCCCCTTTTCCTTTTTCATGGAACTTCATTTTTTGGCTTTGCTGATGAAATCACTGACCACTGATTGATTCAAAGTCTAGCCTGTATTCCCTCCCCAGAGGTCAGGACATGGGACAGAAAATTTCAAACCTCTAATCATAGGGTTGGTTCTACTGGCAACCAGCCCCCAACTTTAACGGTAATCCAAAAGCTACCTCATTTACATAACAAAAGACACCTTTATGACTTTCAGGACCTCAGATCCCAAGGAATTTAGGAGCTCTGGGCCAGAAATGGGGATGAAGAACTAATGTTGTAATATTATTATAAATCACAGTATCACAAGTCACATAGGGTACTCTTATGCTAATTTTGGAGGTGAAACATTCATTCTAAGCAAATCCTTCAGGATAATACTCTATGTACATTTGTGTGGCATTGTGCAGCGTGCAATGCAGCATCTTCTCCCACGTAACCGCGTTTTTCAGTAGGAGTTTCTGTGTTCCTGGGTGGATTTTTAGTCCTAGTGCATTTTGATATCTGATTTCACATGGTAGTTTCCTAGGGTATATTTGTATTAATCATTTATTGCCATACAACAAAATATTCTAAAATATACTGTAGAGTATATTTGTATTCATTATCTATTGCTGTGTGGCAAATTACTCCAACATTGAGCAGCTTAAGACACCAAACATTCATCATGTCATGAAGGTTCTGATGGTCTGTATTTGGAGGCAGCATATCTGGGCTTTTTCTGGCTCAGGCGCTCTCAGGTCCCAGCTCAGTTATTGACCAGGGCTGTAGTGATCTCTAGATTTATCTGGGCCTATAGAGAATCTGCTCTAAGCTCACTGATGTTGTGGTAAGTTGACCTTAAACAAATAGACAACTTGCTATTCCTCTAGCAAAATATGTTTATTGGATATAATAACGAATCGCAATTAAGGACATGCAGTCTAATGGTGAACTGTGCCCAAGTCTAGAGAACAAAGCGAGGGACTTCATTTTATAGAGAAAAGGGGGATTTTAGATTGGTTGTTGTAAACAGAGAGCCCATTGGAGGAAACTGGGAGTTCAAAGTGTAGCAGCTTTTCATTGGCTGAGTTGTAGCCATCTTTCATTGTTTGAGAGAAGATCCTCCACCTTACTGAGGCAGTAGTAGCATAGAAAGACATCTTCCTGTGGAGATGTCTTCCTGTTGGGGTGATTGACCCTGAATGGTGGGGCATGAGAGCTCCCACTACAGGCTCCCCCCAATTCCAGTGTAATTGAGCTTCACACAGTTTCAGTTTCTGTCTGGTTATTGGTAGGAGGCATCATTTTTTGCCACGTGGGCTTCTTCCTAGTGCTACTCACAGCATGGCAGACAGGTTCCCCCAGAGAGCATGTAGTGAGAAAGAGAGTCAGACAGAGAGAGGCGGGGCCAGGGAGAGGAGGGGCCGGGGAGAGGCAGGGAGAGGGAGAAGCAGGGACAGCACTCCCCAGTCTCAGCAGTGACACCCTTCACTTCAGCCACACTTTGTTCAGTAGAAGTGCATCACTCAATCCAGCCCACACTCGAGGGGAGGGAATCAATTTCCACCTTTTGAAGGGAAAAATATCAAAGAATTGTGGACATATTTTTGAAACCATAGTATTTCACCATTGTGTGTGTTTTAAAAAGATCTACTTGATATTTGTTTTATATCAGATATGTTTTCAAAGAGGAAGTGTTACAAACGATCTTTAGGCTAACTTTAAATATCTCCCGTCCAATGCTGGTAATTGTCTTCTTTTATATGGGGGGGATTTGTGCCAAGTGGCTTCTAAGACGTTTTCCAAGAAAAAGACTTTTCTTTATTCTGAGAAGCTTAGCTGTCTGCTGTCCCCCGAGACACTCAATAACTCTTGGAATTCTAGGAATCCAAAAGCCCGTCACAGGAGAGCCTCTGGGGCAGTTACCTCTGAGCCTCATCCCGCTACAGGAGACTGTTTTGAATCTTTCCATTTTACTGATAGATTGTTTAGTTGACTCAGTGTATAAATTTCTTTTTTCTCTGGAAAGTTACCAGTGTATCTTGTGCTGAAATTTAAAATCATTTTTGTTCCTTGTCTCAACATTAAAATTGATAGCAAGTGATGTAAGTGGTCACAAGTTTGAGAAGTTCCACATGTCTTCCTAAGTGCCTGTTCTGGAAATGAAATCACCCTAATTAACAGATCTTAATTGCAGTGTTGCAGTAGGAGATTAAAGAGAATCAGTTTGAAAGTACCTCCCAATTCATGATTCCAGGTTTGCTGAACTCCAGAGCTATACTCAGCTCAGCTTCAGACCTATAGAAGATGCTCAGTGTGACATTGTTATTGAAAAACCAGCCTACTTCATGAAATTGGATGCAGGTGAGAAGTTAATTTCTCTATAATTTGTTTATTACTGAGGCTTGTTCCTTTTTTAAAATGTTTGTTTATTGATATTTGGAGAGAGGAAATGAGGGAGGGAGGGAGAGAGAGAGAGAGAGAGAGATTGATTGATTGATTGATTTATTGTTCCACTTATTCATGCATTTATTGGTGATTCTTGTATGTGTCGGACCAGGGAGCAGACCTGCGACCTTGGCGTGTGGTGACGACACTAACCAACTGAGCTGTTGCTAGGGCAGTGTCCGATTTGATGTATTATGTATGGCTTCCTATGACTTTTTGAGAAGTAGTATGACATGAAACAGTGGGTTTGCTTTCTGATTTCTCCTCTGAACAAGTGAACTTGTTTGAATTTCCGTTCATTTAATACCTTTGGTGTTTTAGAAGAAATCTGCATGTTTGTATCAGATGACTCAGTCAGAATGAAAGGTGAGAGAGAGAAGGTGTATGTTTACCTTTGTAACTAAATTTATCCCATCACCTTTCCCTAATCACTTGTTTTATTAGAACTTTCTGCAAAGTGAAAGCCATGTGCCCACTGCGGGCAGGAAAGGAGCTGCCTGTGACCTCGTGTGGCTAACTTCCTGAGGTCAGTTCCAAGGCTGAAGTGAACTTAACGTTCCTCTGGAAGTTAGCTTGCAGTAGATTCTTAGAGGGAAGCTGAAATTAGTGATTTCCCCATTCATACGGCTCCTCCCTTCGGGCTCAGCTTGCAAGCACAGCTCAGACTGTGAACTGGGCCTGCGGAGCCAGGCTGGGGCGCACGCGCTCCCTGTGAGAGGTGAGGTACGGGGCCCACCATGCCCAAGCTCACCAGGGGCTGCTCAGCGTGGCATTGGGAGCCCTCTGCCATAAATCTTTCAGAATTACTATGATTTTATTCATCATATTTTTATTTATTAATTTTTAAGATCTTTTGTTGTTGAAAGTATTACAGATGTTGCCCCTTCCCCCCCCACTGTCCCTCTCCTCCCCACTCCCATGCCTCTCCCGCCTTCCCCACACTGTTTATTGTCTATTGATCATATTTTTAATGTGCTCTACCTTCTTGAAGTCATAATTCTTGTATTACAAAGTATTAAGTTCAGAAATCAGACAAGTTTAAATTTTGGGAATAAGAGCAAGTAAAAATGCTGTTTGATGTCCTGACTCATTTTTAAAATATGAAAATTAAAAAGGGGCCGAGAAAACACCCATCTGTCTGCGGAAGGGTTGAACATGTGTGAACTGGTAAACGGATGATCTCCTGGGTGCAGTAATGTAGCTCAAGGGGAGTATCTGGCCAGGGTACTTGCCAGCTCTTTCCTGTATTCACAGTTCTACACTTGTCTCCTAACTTATGCTGTCTTCCAGGTTTTTATATATATATATATATATATGTATATATATATATATGTATATATATATATATATATTTTTTCATTTAAGTTAGTTTACTTTTTATTTGTTGTTTTTTTTGAAGTCATTCTTTTAAAAAATTTTTTTTCTTTATTGATTTTAGAGAGAGGAAGTGAGAGGGAGAGAGAAATGGGAACATCGATGAGAGAGAACATCGATCGGCTGCCTCCTGCATTCCCCCCCTGGGGATCAGCCCGCAACCTGGGCATGTGCCCTGACCCGGAATCGAACCAGTGACCTCTTGGTGCAGGGTCGAAGCTCAACCACTGAGCCACATTGGCCGGGTGTATTTTTTTAATTTGTTGATCCATTTCTTTTCCCCCATTTTTGTTGAATTGATTGGGGTGACATGTTATCAACGTTCTGCGGGGTTCAGGTGCATTGCACTGTGTGTTCCCAGGTTTCCTTGTCATGGTAACTCTTACCTGGAAGGAACGAGCGTGCTGGAGAACGGACTCATGATGCACATTTCTTGAGGACAGAGCTCCCTTTTGTCCCTCATTAGGGGCCTCCTAGCAGGCTGCTCGGTGCCGGCTGCGCTTACTGTCCCTGCTCTGCGCACTGTCCCTGCTGCGCTTACTGTCCCTGCTCTGCGCACTGTCCCTGCTGCGCGCACTGTCCCTGCTCTGCGCACTGACCCTGCTCTGCGCACCGTCCCTGCTCTGCGCCTGCTGACAAACTGACAAACGCCAGAGAGCAGTGTGTGCACGGGGCCTGGGGAAGGGTCTGCTGGGAAAGAAGCTTCTTTTTCTTGTTCATTTGAAAACATAACATTGGCCCAGAACTCTGCAGGTGAGAACAGGAGCCCCTCCCGACGTCCATCCAAATCTCTGGTCTAAAAAGAACTGGGTTTTAACTCCTTTTCTGGCACAGTGTGGTTATTCACTGTGGGATGAAGTCGGACTAGTTCATGATTTCTGCTTTTGAGAGTCACTGTTCTTGTAATAAACCTTTCTCCTGCTTTAAGGTGCATGTTTTACAGGTCAGTTCCTGGAGCGCCCTCCTGTGTGGATTGCTCATTTGCAGGTTGCATACTAGGTCCTGCACCCCTGAGCTGGTGGCGGGAGTGCTTGGTTTCTTGTTAGCTATGGCCTTGGGGCTCTTGTTCCTCCCCCGCCTGTCCCCCAGCACAGGCCAGCGGGTCTTCTCGTTTCCCTGTGTGCCAGGCCCTAGCTGGGAAGTGTTGGGTCATCTCTGACTTTGTCCCAACAACTGGCACCTCAGTGGAATGGTTTCCTGTTTCTAGTCGAGAAGCTCAGGGGCTGAAGGAACGTCTCTGAAACTGCGGCTCCTGAACGGCCGCGCAGGATTCAGCCCACCTCTCTGATTCCACGGGTCACGCTCCTTCAGGGGGCACGAGACGTTCAGCCTTGTGAACAGCAGTAGGCTGGTGCTCCCCAAGAAGCCTGCTGTCAGTGGCGATCAAGCAGGAAAAGAGAGACTGGAATGAAAAGCTGCCAACACGTTCGCAGTGCTGTGTTTTTGATCCTTCTGTGATGAACAGCTGTTGCCCAATTTGTTTTTAAAAAATAAATGATCCTAAAAAAATCACAATTGTTCTTTATGGTCCTATAGTTTTACCCAATTCTGAGCGAAATAGACTTCTGTTCTTTTTCTCTGGAACCTAATGATGACTTGTTCCTTAGTGTACCTGGGAAAATGTACTCCTGACTTCTAAACAACCGATTTTAAAGTGAGTATTTCAACCCAGTCAGTCTGTAAATTGAGGATTATTTGAGTATAGATCCTTTCATGCCTGGAAAAACTCTTTTTTCTCATGTATTTCAGCTAAAAATAGATGGAGTGGAATAAAAATCGTCCGATCACATGTTCTCGAGTTCATTAACTTGGATTATTTTTTCTGATGCTAGGTGTCAACATGTACCACCACTTCTGTGACTTCCTCAACCTCTACATCACTCAGCACGTGAGCAACTCCTTCAGCACTGACGTGTACATCGTGATGTGGGACACGGTGAGTAGGCTGCTCTCTCCAGCTCTGTCCTCGCTCCGCAAGCCTGTGGCTCCCATGTGGTGAAGGGAACTTTCTAAACACCCACATTTAAATGCACACACGCACACGTTCAGATGAGTGAGAGCGTGTCTGTGTGCAATGCTGTGTACATAGACAGGTGGCCGGATCCAGAGGTAGGTTTATACCTCAGCTGTGGGAACGTGAGAGGGGGTCAGTGGAAGGTTTTCTCCCCCTTTGCGCAGCTGGAGCTCCAAAGACCACAAACCAGTACTTACTGTTCCCTGAGACACACAGAGGAGACTCATCCCTGACTGTGTCCTGCGCGTGACCACGTGGGGGAGCTCGCCTCTGCTGACAGCGTGGCCTTGTCATTGCCGTCACTTTGCTCATGTGCAGCTCCTGGTGTCCCCTGCTCCCTGACAGCCGTGCTGTGTGGATGAGCTCACCGCACAGGGCGAGTCCTCGATGTGCGCGTGGGCACCACACCTGCTGTTTGCTGCTTGTTTTTAATGCTGTCTCTGTCCTTCCCTCTTTTCCTGCCTCTTCCCTGGCTTCCCTGTGTCTTTCCATACTGGCCCCTCCCCCGCCACGGGAGCTCTCAGGAGTTGTTCCAGTGTCCTAGCTGTGAAGTGGACAGTTCCAGTCCCTACCTGAGTGTCATTGTGAGAATAAACCACATAGTTAGTGTGTGAATGGTCACAGTGCCTGACACACAGCTCGTGTGCTCTCACTGTGACTGTGACACACTCATGGTGGGAACCTGTGGTTTGTGTCACACACACGAGAGGCTGCCTACCTGGGACATGGGAGTACCCACCTAGAAATTACCTGCGGTTCAACCACACATGCCAACTCTCCTCGGCCCCTGCGGCCCGAGTCTTCAGCGCGCTCGTGGGGGATCCCCAGCAGCTGGCCGGCAGCGCCAGGCACTGCTGCTGGGAGGGGTCTTTCCGGCAGCCGGCACAGCTCAGGTGCCAGGAGAGGGGATGCCCGCGGGGCACGGACAGGTGCCTCATCGCCACAGGATGTCCTGGGGCAGCTGCATTGCAAAGCCTCCAGGAGCCCACAAGAGAGACGACCAGTTCCAAGAGCAAGCATCTTACGTCATGAGCCATGTCACCTGGAGCACAGCTGACACACGCTGTCTTCATTCCCAGAATGCAGAGCAGCCGGTGGACAGCAGGTCCATTGCTTGGGCAGAAGGGAATCGTTGTGCTAACACTTTGTCCCTTATAGGAAGATCAGAGTCAAGTATGTGGGGATGTTTTATTGTCACACTTCTGAGACCAGCTGTGTGTCCAGAAGGTGATGAAAGTGGGCTCTCAGCTGTGGCTGGGGGTCCTGACTGCTTCTCCCAGCCTCGGCTGTGTGCTGTGTGCTTTCTTTCTGGAGTGGATTGACATTATCCTTGTCTTCCTCTTTTCCTGTCACCACATACTTCTTTCTTGAAAATGTTTCTGTGAGCACAGGGAACGAATTGCTTTCTTTACCTCTTTTGTGACAGCTTAGAGGCCACGGTCACTGGCCGTCAGCTGCCCTGACGATGAATCACGGTTGTGGTACTTCTTAAAGATGCCCCCGATGTTCTCTCATTTCATACTCACAACCTTCTGTGCACAGGGTCACAGCAGCTAATTTCTCAGATGAGGAAGTCCGGGCTCTGAGCAGCAGAGACTGTCCTCTGATAACACAGTCAGTGGGGTGGAGTCAGCTTTCCTGGGGGGCTGGCCGACTCTGGATGTGCACCCAAAACCACAGTGCTTTATCCTCGCCCTAGAGTTCCCTGCAGAACCTGTGACACGGATGGGACGTTCTCCACACACTTCCCAGAGCTCCCTCTGCCTTGCTGGGGGCTTGCCCATGTCTCCTCCGTGCTGAGTGGAGTGGGGTGGCCCCTCCCACCGCTTTCTCTGTGTGCTGCTCAGCCGCCAGAGCTCCGGGTCCCTCAGGTTCTTGGGCTGTGGACGGGCTGGTCTGGGCAGGCAGGTGCGATTTCGTTCAGGAGGTTGGAGCCCTGTGTTGCCTCCCTCCTTGGCTGCTGTCTGTGCGTCCATTTTAAACCTGTGTTGTGGGTCAGAGAGGCCTTTGCCAGCTGCTCATTCAGCCTCAGGACAGGATGTGCTGGGCTGCTCCGGCCCTGAGGCCCGCGGGGTGCTGCAGGCGGTGTGGACACCGCGCTAAGGTGATGTGTGGCTGCTGACGCTGCTCTTTGGCTGGTAAGGCCTCGAACGAAGCAGCATTGTGACCCTAGGCTGCCTGTGACCCGAAGCCTGACCACGGGCAGTGCTGCCTCTGAGCCAGTCCTGAGGGCCTCGCACGAGCTGTGTGCCCTGGGGCAGGGCAGGGTCCTGGCGGGGGCTGCAGTTCAGAGCTTACTGACCTTCACAGACTGTTTCCCAAAAAAGCCTATGAGGCCTTCCCTGTTGTCCTTGCAGAATTTATCAGCATGGCCTGTCCCTTCAGCACGTGGCTTCCAGGTGGGGTGGGTGAGGCAGCTTTGCGAGATGCACCGAGGGTCCCTTCTGCAGAAGAATCCCGGGCACAGCAGGCGGACCTTAAGAACAGAATGAAGAAAGGGGACGTTACTGCAGGCTTTCAATAGTTTCTTGTGCTGAGAAGCAATACTGCTTTATTATTTTTTTAAATTATGCAAGTAACACCTGGTTATGATGAGTTCTGACACCCAGAAGAAAGTTACGATAAATGCTTCCTCTGCTCCAGTTCCATTCCCCTTAGGTAACTGCAGTTCACCTGTGCGAGAGCCTTGTGAGGATTTGTATTTGAATAAGTGTAAGTGTGTCCTTATGGAAGTATGCTCTCGCTGATACTGTTGACTTCATGTTGAGGACACCTTTCCCTCAGGACATGGAAGGCTGTCATTTTTATTGGTGTTCTGTTGGGTGGGGCCTCTGCACGCGTGGGTCTCTGTCCCCACCTGGATCGCCTGTCCTTTGTTTCCAGTTCTTTGCTATTTACTGAAATGCTGGAGTGAGCGTTCATCTTCTGTACCTGTCTGTACCCTGCACCCCGGCATGCCGGAGGACAGCCTCCTAGCAGGAGGTTCTGTCATCGGTCATGTGCACTTTTGAGGCTGAGACACAGCAGGGCACGTCACGCTCTTTTTAGGGATATCCACAGAGTCTTCACTGTGAGCCGGAGGAAGGCCCTCTGTTGCCATGGCAGATCATTTGAATTTGAGGAATGTGGAGAAGAAGCTTCTACAGGTGGTCGTTACTGAGTATTACACGATTTCCTTGAAAAGGACATTTCTCAGGAATAGTATATTATTACATTTTCTTTTCAAAGTATCTTATTTAATCTGAAGTATTTCATCTCAAGAAACTGTCTGCTCAGTCCCCCACCTTTTTTTTTAGTAATCCTAACCTGAGGATATTTTTCTATTGATTTTAGATAGAGTGGAAGGGAAGGAGGGACAGAGAGAAACATTGATATGAGAGAGACACATCGATTGGTTTCCTCTTGCATGACCTTGACCAGGGCCGGGGATCAAACCAGCAACTCAGTTCCATGCCTCTGGGTGGGAATGGAACCCACGACCCTCGCATCTGCTGGCCGACTCTACCTGCCGAGCCACAACGGTCAGGGCTCTAGTCACTCTTTTTTTTGTTAATTCTCACCAGATAATATTTTTCTATAGATTTTTTTTTTTTTTTTTTTAGATACAGTGGAAAATTAATGAAAAAATATCCTTGGGTGAAGACGAACAATAACCGGGAAATCAGATGCTGTGATACATGTACTGGAAAGGACTAGTTCCCTCCGAGAGGCGGCCGCCCCGCACAGGTTATGACATGGAGTCTCGAGCCAAGCAGCTGGGTTCATCCCGGCCCTGCAAACACACCAGCTCCACAGTTTAGGCAGATTACTTAGATTTGTGTCTCAGTTTCCTCATCTGTAAAAAGGGGGTAATCATATAAAATAGCACATTAATTTGTGGGGTGGTTTAATGTGTTAATGTCAAGTGCTTAGAACAGTGCCTGGGACTCCGGAACATACAAGATGCTATTATTATTATTATTTCTCTTATTAGTAATGTTAATGGGAAATTGTCACATTACTCAGTCAATAGGTAGATCATTTCAGAGTTACACACATTATATATAGCTTTTTATTTTATTTTCTTAAATCCTCACCCAAGGATATGTTTCCATTTATCTTCAGATAGAGTGGGAGGGAGTGGTAGACAGAGAGAGAGAGAGAGAGAGAGAGAGAGAGAGAGGAACATTGATGTGAGAGAGACACATCCATTGGTCGCCTCCAGCATGACCCCTGACCGGGGACCTAACCGCAACAGAGATATGTGCCCTTGACTGAGATTGAACCCACGACTCTTTGGTCCAGGGGCCAGTGTTCTAACTGCTGAAAGTAGCCAAGGCACATACATTTTATACATATATATACACACACACACACACACACACATTTTTTTTATCCTCGCCCGAGAACATTTTTTCATTTTTTGTTCAGAAAGAGTAAAGAGTAGGAGGGAGAGAGGAAGAGAGAGAGGGAGAGAAACATTGACGTGAAAGGGGCACATTGAGTGGCTGCCACCCACACAACCCAACCAGGGCCGGGGACAAACTGCAACCGAGGTACGTGCCCTTAGCGGGAACCAAACCCAGGTCTCTCTGGACCACAGGCCAATTCTCTAACCGCTGAGCCAGGGCCACACGTTGTATTTTTGATGTTAAAACTGTTCAAGGCATTTTTCTTGCTCTGAAATTTCTTTCAGAGCAAGAAAATCCCAAATGGTTTTGTTCAGTAAGTATATTGGTGTGCATACAAATGGTGGTGTGTGCCTGTGTTGTGTGTATGTGTAACTTGGATAGAAAACTCACAGGGAAAAAGCCCCCAACAAGTGCAGTTTCAGACATGAAAATACAAAGGGCTAGGATGGACAAACAAACCACTTTTAGCAGACTGATTATAATTGTGGTGATTATTTGTGATGATATTATATCAGATTAGGCCCAAGGTGA